TAACCCATGAAATAAAGTCAATCTGGCCTTTAAATAAAAATAAAAAGGGGGATATGTGGGGACCTAAAGGCCCCACCTTCCATAGGTCCGAAAGGAAGTTACTGGGGGCACAGCCTGGCTTGCTTTGAAAGTCTGAAGAATGCTTCCGCACTGCTGAGGAGTGCATGATTAGCACGTGAGGGAGCCACCTATGAGGTGGGTAACCCATGAAATAAAGTCAATCTGGCCTTTAAATAAAAATAAAAAGGGGGATATGTGGGGACCTAAAGGCCCCACCTTCCATAGGTCCGAAAGGAAGTTACTGGGGGCACAGCCTGGCTTGCTTTGAAAGTCTGAAGAATGCTTCCGCACTGCTGAGGAGTGCATGATTAGCACGTGACCATCTTTAAGATACACCCTGGCGGGGGGGAGTTCCAGGTGCCTTTATAAGCTTTGTAACACCTGCAATGAGTCTCTGCCTAAGACTACCTGTTGAGTCTGAGTGTCCCTGGGTTAATGGGGGCAGCGTGGGCTGGCGAACGGCGTGCTTACTCATCGCCAATCCTCACCTCGCCAGGGGTCCCTGGTTCGAACTCCCAGCAGAGGGTATTAAGCCATACATTCTTAAAACTTAGGTAAGTAGCATTTTAAAAATATTTATTGGGGCTGGAGGGATGGCTCAGCAGTTAAGAACACTGGTTGTTCTTGCAGAAGACCCAGGTTCAAATCCCAGCACCCCCGTGGCAGATAACAACTGTCCATAACTCCAGTCCCAGGGGATCCGACAGCCTCTTCTGACCTCCACAGGCATTGCACAACACAGGTGCACTTACCTACATGCAGGCAATACACGCATACACATAAAATAAAAATAAAATGTTTATTTTTTAAAAAGTTAAAAAAAAATTTATGTGTATGTGTATATTGTCTGCATGTGTGTAAGTGCACCTGTGTTGTGCAATGTTTTCGGATGTCAGAAGAGGCTGTCGGATCCCCTGGAGTTACAAAGGGTTGCTGGCCACCATGTGGGTGCTGGGATTTGAACCCAGGTCTTCTGCAAGAGCAGTCAGTGCTCTTAACCGCTGAGCCATCTTTCCAGTCCCTGTAAGTGGCATTTTAAAAAATCCAAAGAGGGGAACTAGAGAGATGGTAAAGTGGTTAGGAGCTCTTGAGGCATAATCCCAAAGAGGATGGGAGTTCAGTTCCCAGAACCCATACTGAACAGCTCACAACTGCCTATAACCCCAGCTCCAGAGCATCCAACACCCTTTTATGGCTTCTGCGCATGTGTGAATACACATACTGTTGGATAAGCTTGTCCTCTGTAGGACCAGCAACAGATGAATGTCTTCTTCCTCTCCCCCGCTGACTGCAAATTGTCTGAACCCTAAAACTCTCCATAGAAAGGGAGACAGCCACCCCTCCCACCCAATCAATCAGCTTTAACTGCATGAGGGGGGGGGACTAAGGGGAGACACCTGGAAAGTGAGGGAGAAGGGGGGAGGCTTTGCCATCTTGGGCTGGCCGGCTGGTGGCCACAGATCTAGAAGGCTCAGCTGAGATGTAGGGGAAAATAACACACAGGTATCTATACCTTTGTAAGTACTTTCACCATGATATGCTCTATTAGCGAGCCCAAATAAACGTCTTTATTCCAACTGTAGTTTGGAAGAACATTGTTGTCAGTTGGTTGTACAGACGATGGGTCAAGTGGGAGGAGAAAGCCGAGAGCAAGTGGGCTCCCCAGAAGTAAATTCAACTTACACATACACATCACACAGACATATGCATTCAATTTTTTTTTTTTTCTTGAGACCAGGTCTCACTATGTAGCCCTGGCCAGCCTGGAACTCACTATGTAGACTAGGCTGGCCTGGAACTCACAGAGATTCACCTGCCTCTGACTCCCAAGTGCTGGGATTAAAGGTGTGTGTCATCATACCTGGCTAAAAATAAATCTTTTAAAAAATTAAATATCAAAGAGAAGATTAATATGGAATTGGTTAGGCAAACGGCACAGAGGAGATAAGTCAGGAGGATCACAAGTTTGAGGCCAGTATAGGACATATAGCAAAACCCTGCCTAAGAAAAAAATTGATCTGATAATCTACAGTACCATTGCCAGCATTAAAGGCTAAACAACTTTATAACTACTCCATAACTTACTCCTTACTACAGATTCTCACCATGCAGGGGCATGTTTCACCCATTTATTTTTGAGCTTTTATGGATCACAGCTACATTGGCTAGACTACAAACCACAGAAAGAACCATCAGCTGGCTGCAGCCCTGATGCCATACCTGACAGACGCAAAGCTATTCAAGCAGCAGAAACCTGCTGGTGCTCATCTGGGTGTCTGCACCCATTGACCACACCCAGGAAGTGCCAGTGATGGTTCCAACAAAGCAGGACATACCAGCCATGTTCACTGTGATGAGATTCCAAAGGAATTTCTGTTTCCATAGAACACAGAACAAATCCTAAAGAAGGCTTACTCTCAGCCTTAGCTGTTGCTTGATTCAGCGATGAGATCTGAGTGAGTTGCCAATCTGTGAAATGGATCTAGAGAAAAAAAAATTTAGGGTTCTCATGATTCCCACACCATCTCATGTTACCGGAATTTCCATCTTCAATCTAAGGAGATTACTCCATGACCATCAAACGGAGGCATCTCCCACAACTAGCTATTCCTTCATCATTTCTCCTCTTACCTCTTTTTGTACTCTGACCTTTTATCTGCAAAGATCAGATGTGAAAGCAGAGATTTGTGTGATCAAACCTAGGGGCGTACGTATGCCAGGCAAGTGCTCTACCACAGAGCTATATCCCTAGTCTGAAAAAGAGGAAATTTTAACAACACTAAGAGCTGGGCATGGTGGCTTGTAATTCCAATATTTGAGAAGCCAAGGCAGGAGAATTGTAACAAGATTAAGGCTAACACCCTGAGATGTGTAATGAGTTTTAGGCTAGCTTGGACTACGATCATACCCCATTTCATCCCCATCCCAAAGAGCTGTATTAAGCCCTAAAATTAGCTGCTGCGAGATACTGAAAGTAGACCATGCTTAAAGTCTGACAACTGGAGACTATATACCATTGAAACAGGATCTAGGGTATGAGAAGCTCTAGGATAGGACACATAATTGGCATGTGTAAAGCCCTAGGATCAGTTCTCAGATAATAAGTACACTACTTATCTTGAAAGCTTACTTTTGGCTTGAGCAATCTGGAAGGTATAGTAACCTGATTGGTAAGAGTTGCTACATAGGAAAAATAGACACATTAGGAATGATCAGGGTGAAATCACAAATGTTCAAAATAAATCTATGCAACAACTCAAAAAGGGACTCAGTTGTTAAGAGTGCTTCCCTAGAATGTCCCCTGGTTTTGATCTCCAGACTGCATTAAAAACTGGGTGTAAGCCAGGCATGGTGGCACACACCTTTAGTCCCAGCACTCTGGAGGCAGAGACAGTGGATCTCTGTGAGTTCAAGGCCAGCCTGGTCTACATAGTGAGTTCCAGGCCAGCTGGGGCTACAGGGAGACCCTGTCTCAAACAAACAAACTGGGTGTGGTGGCACATATCTGTAATCTGAACACTCAGCAGTGGAGGCAGGAGGATCAGGAGTTCAAGGTCATCTTCTGATGCACAAGGAGGTCAGCCTTGGCTATAAAAGACCTTGTCACAAACAGCAACAAAACCCTATTTCTGTTGTTTTTGGTTTTGTTTTTTTTGAGAAAAAACAATGACTCTGCCACCTTCTTTACCTTCATAAAGATCATATCCATTGAGATCACAAATGAATCACAAAGAACTTATCAGAATGATAACATTTCCACATACTGTACACCAACAGTTTCTGCACTACAAGATCTCATGCATTTAATAAGTCTCCTGGAAATATGGAGAGCTTTTACATTTGTGAGCCATATTCATATTTATATGGCTCCAGGGTGAGCTCATATATTGGTGCATTGTGATCAGATTCTAATGGCTCTTAAATTCTTAATTAAATCTTAAATTCATGGGCATCTTGAGAACAAGAAAGCTTTCATGTCTTTCAAGCAAACTGGTTTGAGGGCTGATCCATATTCCTTACATTAATAAGGCTTCTTCTTACCAGTGCAAATTCCACTGTGATGATTAAGATGTGGGGGATTCCTAAAGGGTTTTCAGCATTCCTTCCATTCAAAGGGTTTCTCTTCAGGCTTATTCATTAAATGTTCAGCTAGGTGATAAAACTTATTATAGGCTTTCCCACATTCCTGATTCTTAGAAGGCATCTCTCTACCATGAATTCGTGTATGGTGATAGAGGCTTGAGGATGTAGTGAAGGCTTTCCCACATTCCTTACATTTGTAGGGCTTCTCCCCTGTATGAGTTCTTAAATGTTCAGCTAGGCTGGAAGAAACAGTAAAGTCTTTCCCACAGTACTTACATTTATAGGGTTTTATCCCAGTATGAATCCGAATGTGCTTATTAAGACATGAAGAATTTCCAAATAGTTTTCCACATAATTTACATTCAAAGGGCTTTTTTCCTGTGTGAGTTTTCACATGTGTAGTCAACAGATAACACCTTTTATATGCTTTCCCACATTCTTTACATTCATAGGGTCTCTCTCCAGTGTGAGTCCTCTTATGTACAATCAGACATGAGGATGTAGTGAAGGCTTTCCCACATTCTTTACATTCATAGGGCCTTTCTCCAGTATGTGTTCTTACATGTTCAGTCAGACTTGAAGAAACTGTGAAGTCTTTCCCACAGTACTTACATTTATAAGGTTTGATTCCAGTATGAAGACGAATATGCTTATTACGGCATGCAGAACTTTTAAAAGACTTCCCACACACTTTACAATCAAAGGGCTTCTCCACTGTATGAGTTTTTAAGTGTTCAGTCAATAGATAACATCTTTTATAGGCTTTTCCACATTCCCTACATTCATAAGGCTTCTCTGCACTGTGAGTTCTTACATGTTTCCTTAGGTAGGAGGAAGTGTGGAACGTTTTCCCACATTTCTCACATTCATAAGGTTTCTCTCCAGTGTGTGTCCTTATATGATTACACAGGTAGGAGGATGTGTGAAAGGTTTTCCCACATTGCTTACATTGATAGGGTTTCTCTCCAGTATGGATTCTTAAATGTTCTGTCAAGTGTGAAGAAATAGTGAAGGATTTCCCACATAACTTACACACATAGGGCTTCGTTCCGGTGTGTGTTTGTACATGTGTAGAAAGTCCTGAGCACTTAGTGAAAGCTTTTCCACATTCATTACATTTATAGGGTTTTTCTCCAGTATGAATTCTGAAATGTTCAGTTAAACTTGAAGAAGTAGTGAAGGATTTCTTACATATCTTACATTCATAAAGTTTCTCCCCAGTGTGGGTTCGCATATGACTATTAAGATTTGAAGAATACCCAAAGAGTTTTCCACATTCCTTACATTCATAGGGTTTCTCCCCAGTGTGGGTTCGCATGTGACTATTAAGATTTGAAGAACGTCCAAAGACTTTCCCACAAACCTTACACTCATAGGCTTTTATGGTATACATTTGAATAGGCAGAGCTCCACTTGTGGAACATGTAAAATCTCCTGCAAACTGAGTCAATTCATAGAACTTTTCCCCATTGTGGATTCTCATATGTGCCTGAAAATATGACTGGTTAAGGAGTGAATACTCACTGCATTCAAAGGGTTTGTTGTGAAATCTTGTTCTTTGGTTAATACCATCTGGAGTAAGGCTAAAGTCTCTTTCATACTGATTCAACACACAAAGTTCCTGTCCTGTAGAAGTTTTCTTATGCAGAGCAGAAAAGTGTTTTTCATACTGGTTAGAGTCACAAGTGTTCTTTGTGTTTTCAGTTTTCATGTGTCTCTTAACATACGAGTGCTCTAGGAATATATCTTTATATTGCATATAGTTACAGAGTTCATAAGCACTGTGACTTCCTGCCTGAGGCTGAAAGAATAAATATAGTCAAAGGATTATTCACAATTAACGGTTTCAACCCATCTGAAGACAGAAATATTATTAGATGCTTGATTTTTTTTCTTTTTCTTTTTTTGGGTCTTTTTTCTTTTGAGACAGGGTCTTCCTGTAGCCCCAGCTGGCCTGGCACTTGCTATGTAGACCAGGCTGGCCTTGAACTCAAAGACATCTGCCTGCCTCTGCTTCCTGAGTGCTGGGATTACAGGCGTGCACCACCACACCCAGCAGATGCTTAAATTTTTGTTTTGCTGGTTTTTAAAAAAATTTATATGTATAAGTACATTGCCTCCATGTGTGTAAGTGCACCCATGTCATGCAGTGCTCTCGGAGGTCAGAAGAGGATGCTGGATCCCTTAGAACTGGAATTTTGGATGGCTGTTAGTCACCACGTGGTGCTGGGAATGGAACCTAGGTCCTCTCAAGAGTTGCCAGTGCCCTCAGCTGCTGAGCGATCTCTCCAGCCCTGTTTGCTTTTTGAGACAGGGTCTCACTTAAGAGACCTGGCTGTTCTGGAACTCACTATGTAGCCCAGGCTGGCCTTGAACTCACAGAGATCCGCCTGCCTCTGCTTCCCCAAGGGACAGGATTAAAGGCATGAGCCACGCCTGGCAAGAACCCTTCATTTTCTTTCTCCTTCTTTTCCTTTTTTTAAATTTGGAGACAGGGTCTCCCTGTAACCTTAGCAGGCCTGGAACTCGCTGTGTCAAAGACAGGCTGGCCTCAATCTCAGAGACCCATGTGCCTCTGGCCTGTGCTGTGATTTCAGAATACTCGTCAAAGAGCTACTTCACTTGCAAAGGTGAATGTTATTTCTCTTAAATATTTCTCATTTTCTACAAAGGAATTCCAGATCTTTTTTGACTCTTATAAATAATCTCTGTCAATTAATTTTAGAGGCCACCAACACTGCTGCATCTTTTCTGTATGAATGAATAATAATTAAAGCACACTATTTAGAGCTAGCACTGTGGTGTACATCTATAATGTCGTCAGCACATGGGAGGCAGAGACAGGAGGATCAATAGTTCATGGCCATCCTCAGTATAAAGCAAGTTTAGGGGATGGAGAGATGGCTCAGCAGTTAAGAACACTGGTTGTTCTTGCAGAAGGCCCGGGTTCGAATCCCAGCACCCACATGGCAGCTAACAACTGTCCACAACTCCAGTCCCAGGGGAACTGACAGCCTCTTCTGACCTCCATGGGCATTGTAAAACACAGGATCACTTACCTACATGCAGGCAAAACACACATACACATAAAATAAAAATAATAAGATTTTTTTTAAAGTAAG